GAGATAATTGTCTGCTTTGTTATTAATGGAATCTGATCGTTGTCAGTAAAATATGTTTTTGTGATTATCTCACAACCTAATGGTCCAATTTCAATGAAATTATTTTTATTTTATAAAGGTAATCCAGACTTACAGAACAAAAAAAAGTTCATCAAAATTGGATTATTAGATCATATGATAATTATTTTTATTATTTGCACCAATTTCCCCAATTTTACATAGTAGGACACTGCTGATCTTAACCGAATTAGCAATTAAGCGCATTATGGTTAAGATAAAAATTAAAGGTGCAAACATTGTACCTGGTAAATTAGTTGGACAATGCAAATTTCTGCAAAATTAAAGATATAATTGTGTATTTGTAAACATAAAAATAACGTTATAAAATTAAATATATTAAAATCGTCATACCTGGTAAATACTGTTAAATTACTTAGGTGCATCACGATGCGGCAATATCGTTACTACACTGATTAGTTTCGCCTTATGTTATACTGAACTTTGTTTTGGAATTACAAGGCAAATTTCTGTGAAATTAAGGATACAACAATCATCGTGTCTGGTGGTAAATTACTTAAGGATATCACAACATGGCGATATCATTTACGACGCCAATTAGTTTCATCTGAAAATACAATTAATCATATCTGGTAAATACATCTCTTTCTCCAGATGGTCAATATTCAACCAGCGATACCATTACAATATCATGGAGTAGTTATGCTTAACATTATCGAATTTTGCTACAAATATTATATTAAAAAAAAATAATAATAAATATACCAAGAATTTCCGTGAAGTATTAAGAAAATATTTTCTGGTAAAATAATAATATCTACCGGTAAAAGATATCTCCAGGTATAAAACAATATTTTAAAATATCAAATTTGAACATCAGTGAAAGAAAATACAATTGGAATTGTTACAAAATGGCCATAGCTATAATTTTGTTCGCAGCTGTCAAATAAACTTCATTTTTCAGTGTTGAAATTATACCAGAATTAAAAAAGGAATAAACATGATATTATTTATACATGATATTATTTATTTGTTTTTAACGTGAAAAACGTATTTCATGAAGTGGAGAAAAGTGTAGACTGTAAAGGTGTGATAGTTGTCGTATCACTCGAGTTGTGAATGTTTTAAATCTAACAAACAAAAACGATGATTGGATGGATAATCAATACAAAATCATGTGATAGGAGATTAGCATGAATACGAAAATCAATGCTATATTTTTTCTCCTCTCCTCTTTAGACGGTGAATCTGAGCCTATTGCTACGACCACATACTTTTTAAGTGGAAATTCATGTGAGTTGATGGATTTCATTGTGTTCTTCAAGAGTTCAAGTGGCTTGGTCATTCGATCATATATTTTTGAACTTTAAAATTAAGCGGACATTTATAAACTTTAAAAATTAAGCAATATCAAGAAAAATTCTCAAGAATTTTTCTTAAGAATGTGACTTTAATTTATTAATCGGAATTAAAATAAGCGGTATCACATTTAAACTTTAAAAATTAAGCAGTATTAAGAAAAATTCGCATATCTCCATTAAACTTAAACAGTATTAAGAAAATTCTCGCGATATCACAAAAATTAAATAGTACCAAGAAAATTCTTTATTAATCTGTCTTTTTGAACTTTAAAGAATCACCAAGTAACAATTCGAACACACGTTTTTCCTTGTCTATTTTAAATCAACAAGAATGAAACATCAAATATTATACTACAATAAAGCTATATGGCCGTAAAATAATAATTGTTTTTTATCTATAATCCACTTTTCGTGTCATAAACAAAGTGAACTTTTTGTATGCGGTCAATTATTGATATTGGAAAGATTCTTCTTTAGCGCATGTCTTGAATTGACTGAATATGATAAAGAGGACATTTCAATACATTATGAATTCTATTAGTATCATCGAACCAATCAATAGTAATAAAGACATAATATTTGCCATTATTGCCTTTGTATTTGAAGATTCCCTTTATAATTGCATAACATTCACCATTGTTTTCTTTGTGTATTGTTACAATATCGCCAATATGAAGATGAACTTTGGAGAAGATGCCATCACTTTCTTCTATTGTGTATGTTGCCAATTCATACCAGCCCATTTGAGAATATACAAGAGCTGAATTTAGTCCAATATCTACAAATGAAAAAAGCAACTCAGATTTGAAATTTGGCAAATTTTTCATGATATTTTTACGATCCTACTGGGATAAGAGCCTCTTTAAAATAATATTTGTAATAAAATCCACTGGGGATGAAATTACTGTATAAAATAAAATACATAAGTAAATAATTAAGGAAATATTTACTATAAAATTATAATACGAACCATCTATATCTTCATTCAATTCTTGTTCATTCGATACCTTATCTTCAGTAATGTACCAATTAGTCAATAAATTTCTAAAATTTGACTGCATAGTAGCGAATCCTCTACAAGGTTGTGATAATCTTTGATCTGCACCTTTGTCTACTAAATGACAAATTGCAAGAAGTGTAGTATACCGTTTTAACAAGTCCAGTTCGATATTCTTGCAATTTGTTCATGGTACTATTGCTTTGAATATCCGATACACCATCTCCTTGATGCTAACTTGAGTGTTTATAAGGGTACCATAAGTTTTTGCATGCATTGGCAAGTGTACATTGATATGCAGATTTGGCAAGTTAGCAAATTCAGGGAAAACCTAAAAGTCACATTATTATTAAAATAAATATTTTATAAAAAAAATTACATAGCAATTATGAATAATTAATTGTGTACCTTTGGAAGAATTATCATTTCTTCTCTAAGGCATTTTTGCAATTCGTCATACGAATCTAATGTAAACTTGCTTTCAAAAACCATCCTCATTGTTTTTGCTACATGTACCCAACAAGAAATTATTGCATTTTTTACTGTACTCATGCGCAAAGTGTCAATTCGTTGCATAATGATCTTCGATTCATTCTCCTTCAAGCTTGATACTTTTAAAAAATTATTTAGTATAAAAGGCATTATCATGGCAAGCCGAAGATAGTCAGACATCATAAAACTAGCATGGTGGCTAATTGGATTCGGCAAATGAGGCTATTTCTTTGGTTTCTCAAAGCTTTTTCAGGCTTTGATAAACTCGTTCTCTCCTTCTTGTGAAAATAATTCACATCTGTAAAAATTAGAAAAAAAAGTTCATTACATATAGTACATAATTAATATTAATTAAACTCTATCGCTATAATCATACGTTAATTTAAGAAGTCGTCCAATCTTCCTAGCAGTTGCATGATATACATCTTGGGGTGTTTGTAAATGCCTTTCTCTTAGCAACCTATCCAAAATGTTAGGCTTTGCTCTTAATCCATACTGAATACAAAGTTGATTTTGCCTTGTGGTAGTAGATTCATCTGATATCTCTTTAAATTGAATGTCGGTAGTGTGATGATACCTTGATGTTGCTGGTATATCTTGATAGAGGTTGGTAAGTGATTCTCGAGAGACTGTACAAGTGCGACAACCTTTATTGGCATTATGTCGTAATACACCAGCTATATCATTTAATCATTTCCCTGTGATAAATCAGCGGTTACAACATCCAAACCGGCTATTACCCAAGAATTTTTCCCATTCACTTTCATTAATTTTCCTTGTTCGAATTCTTTCATTTCAGAAACGAATGGTAACATGAATTCGTTGAAGTTACCACCAAAAGGAACAAATCCGAGAACAAAATGATTTTTGAGCAACTTCCTTTGATGAGCAGGCATATTTCCAAACTGCACATAAACACCACCTAATGAGTGATAAACGTTCCTAAATGTTCTAAAATCATCATAATATATATCTAAAAACAGCTTGTAAACTTTCATGGTTGAAGATGGTGGCTGCATTATGGAAACATATTCTGAAGGATGTTGATATGAGAGTGTTGCGTCACGAATGTGCCAGTGTGCATGATGTTTATAAAGTATTTTGGTAATTCGTAGCGTATCTTCGGTGACCTTTTCAGAGATTTGGGATGTTGTTATTGTTAAGAATGGTTCATCTTGCAGCCAAACTTCTCTGGAAAGAGAACGATTTTGTCCTAATTCTCGTTTGAAAGTTCCAGGCAAGTCATTATAATCCAGAACTTTTTGGATTCTCAACCGATATTGATCCCCTTCATTTAATACTATCGCTCTTAATCAGCCAAGTTTTTGCTCATTATCATTATAGTCATAATAGTAAACAAAATTACCACATTTGTATATTTCTATTAGATGGTATATATATCAAAAAAAATATTAGCTTTGTGCTTTTATTTATCAGGGCTTTTGTAACTTTTGTATTCAATGTACTAAAATAATAAAATATAATTACCTTCTGATATCATTAATTGTTCTTTACCAAAAAGAAGTGACTCTGCCCATAAGGTACCATGCCAGTACTCTGATTTTATTTTTGAATCAACATCAGGACCAAAATACATTTTCTTGACCAATGATGGATTGTTAAGAACATTCCAAATAATATCACTTATTGAAAGTTGATACGCCATCTTTGAATCCCTAGAAGTTGAGGGTGTTTTTTTTAATGAGATTAAGATAGATTTTGCTGATATTGAGGGAAGAGGAAGTCGTCCCCTCTATGTTCGAAATCTCCAGATATTCTTTACAATATGCATCTCTATTAAATTCTGGTCTCATGATAATGTCAACGAGATCTTCGTATGCACTTGTTGAAATATTGTGCTTGTGAATCCAACAAAATAAGGTGGCAGTGGTTAAATCTTGGAAATATGGTGCGAAATCACCATCAAAAGATGGTAACTTATCTTCAGCCAATGCTGCATCAACGAATAGCCTTTCTTCTGATGAGGTATCAGTGTCGTCTAAGGAGAATGTTGCATAATCTTTATCACTTTCTGAGGACATTAGATAGTCACTTTCTGATGACATTAAATAATCACTTTCTTCATGTTGCTCTAAATCACTTCGTTATCCTAAATGATCATCGTCGCTTTGTTCAAAGTAATTATCATCGTCTCGTTGTTCCAAATAATCATGATCATCACCATCATTATTATGCTCTTCTCTGTTAACATTACCATCCTCAAAATCTTATAACATTATTTCGATGCTATCATTGTCTGATAATATTACATCTTGTGGTTGGGAAAATCTATTGGGTACTAACCTTCTAAAATTATTACGAATACGAAAAGGTAGTGTAGCAATATTCGCCTTTTGATGTTTATTTCGTAACATGGCTATAGTAATAATAAGGAATAATAAAATGAAATCGTAAATTTAAAGAAATGGTCATGCGCTTTTATACGTATTTGATTCATGATATTTTTTCATCATTCTGTTAATTACTTTTAAATAGTATTTTCAACTATATAAAACATCATGGTCGTAATACATAAACGGAAATTCAGATTAACAAATTTTAGGACAATTAACCAGGAAACTTTATTAATAATGTTAATGGATACATTAGTTCTTTGTATTGACATTGTTCGAATTGAGATATTAATGGTTAGTTCTTTATATTGACATGTTAACGATTGCGTATATAAAGAAATTTATTGAATTGTGACCGTGCGTATGGAAACTTTGTTAGTTATTAGTTCATTGTCCGAATTGAAATGTTAATGGTTAGTTCTTTGTATTGACATGTTAACGATTACGTATATAAAGAAATTTATTGAATTGTGACCGTGTGTATGGAAATTTTGTTAGTTATTAGTTCATTGTCTGAATTGAAATATTAATGGTTAGTTCTTTGTATTGACATGTTTATATAAAGAAATTTATTGAATTGTGACTGTGCATATGGAAACTTTGTTAGTTATTAGTTCATTGTCTGAATTGAGATGTTAATGGTTGTTGCATATAAAAATATTTATTGAATATCATGGCCGTATATATAGACGGAAATTTGGGTTAACAAATTTTTGCAGGAAACTTTATTAATGGTTACATTAGTTCTTTGTCTGAAATGACGCGTTAACGGTTATAAAGAAATTTTATACTAATGGTTACATTATTTCTTTGTCCGGGAATTTTAGACAGTGATCTGAGAAAGTTTAATGAATGTCATGACTGCAGAATATAAACGAAAACTTGGGTCTGGGCAATGATCTACACGTTAACGGTAAGAAACTTTATATGAATAATGGCGTGTTAACATTGCCCGAAATGACGTATTAGTAGTTATAAAGAAATTTTATATTTTAGGTAGTGATCCGAAAATTGACTTATAATGAATGTCGTGATCGCAGAACATAAACGGAAACTTGGGTCTGGGCAATGATTCACGCGTTAACGATAAGAAAACTTTATATGAACAATGACGTGTTAACGTTATTCAAAATGACGTATTAGTGCTTTACTAAAAATGGCCAATTTTTTGAAATATTTTTATAGATCTAAATACAATGGCTTTCAAAACAATTATGCAATTATTTTGTAAAATTTTTAAAATATATCAAGATATATTTGAGGTATTTTTTGAGATTAAAATATTAAAATAATATCAAAATTAATTATATTATAATAATAAAATAATAACAAAAATATTAAAAAATTATTGTGATATTATTTTGAGTTATTTTTATAGACCTAGATACAATATAATTACAAAATAATAACAAAAATATAATAAAAACATTTTTATGTATTAAATGTATTTTTGTGGTATTTTAAAATTATTACAAAATCATTTCAAAAAATTGGCCATTTTTAGTAAAGTGGTTATAAAGAAATTTTATATTTTAGGCAGTGATCCGAAAATTGACTTGTTAACGAAATGAAGTTTAATGAATGTCGTGATCACAGAATTTTTACATTGTCCACGGTAATTAACGAAAATTTTTGGGCAATTATCCAAAAAATTAATGAATTGTTAATGGTTACTGTACATTAGTTCTTTGACTGTAGTATATTAACAGAAATTTTAGAGCAATGATCTGAAAAACCGACGTATTAACAGAAGAAAACTCTTACAAACTTTTCTTAGCAATCATAATTTCAATTTATTTATTAATTAAAAATAAGCAGTATCACATTTAAACTAATTTTTTTAAGCAGTATTAAGAAAAATCTGCGAGAAACTAGTGGGTAGAAGTAAATACTTTACTAAAAATGGCTATTTTTTTGAAATACTATTATAATATTTTTATTATACTTTTGTAATACTGACATTATTTTGTAATGGTTGAAATTGTTTTTATGTATTTTGCAATTAATTACAAATACTATATTGCAAGGGCTAATAAAAGTATTACAAATAATGGTTTTAAAACAATTTAAATAATACATTGCAATGGTATTTGTAATGGATTTATTATCAATAATATAATTAATAAATCGAAATTATTATGAAATTGTATTGCAATATTTATAATATTAATATGAAATTGTATTGCAATAGTTTGTATATCTTAATATGAAATTGTATTGAAATGGTTTATATATCTTAATATGAAATTGTATTGAAATGGTTTATATATCTTAATATGAAATTTTATTGCAATGGTTATATTTTATATGAAATTATATTGAAATGGTTGTAATAATATAAATCCAATCATTATTTTTATAATTGTACTAAACCTTACTACTGAAGACTCCCTCTTTTTGTCACTATAAACAGATGGAAGGAGTAGCAATGACTCTTCCCCTATAGGCATTAATTGGCCTCTACCTGTTTACAGAGAAGGGGCTTTTCGTAAAGTATTAAAATTAATAGATATATATATATGTGTATATGAGTATATACTGTATATACATCTAAAAAAAATATATATATATATAAATTTTTTCGGAAGAAAGCCTCCTATTTATATTAATTTAAGTATCACGTGTATCATGTGATAGTATTAATTAATCTGCAGCTTCAGCTGCGCCTGCTGCGGTATAGCGATAAAAAAATTAAGCTTTTTTTAGCAAAAGCTTAATTTTTTTCTCCCACGACCTTTACTTTCTTTAGCTTTACCCTTTCCCTCTTATCCCTTCTTCCCCTTTCTTTTGCCCTTTCCCCTTCCCTCACTCCTATCCTTCCCCTTCCTTTTCCCCTTCCCCTTCCCCTTCCCCTTCTTCACCGCCGGAATCTTTCAAAAAAAAAAACAAAATGGTAAGTTTCGAAGCATTCGCTTCGAAACTTTTTAAAATTATTTTTTTTTTCTAATTTTTTCTTTTTAGGAAACATTACTAACGTTTCCTATATTTTTTTTGTAGGTTTTTGGCGTGTTCTGTAAGCTTTGACACGTCTAAACTTTTTAAAAAAAATAAAAATATTTTTTTTTAAAATTTTTATAGGACTTTCGGCGGGTTCAACTTGGATTTCGGAAATGGTAAGTTTCGAAGCATTTGCTTCGAAACTTTTTTAAAAATATTTTTTTTAAAAAAAAATGTCTTATAGGAAAACGTTTCTAACGTTTTCTATATTTTTTTTTTGTGTAGGATCTTCGGCATGTTCAACTTCAGGATCTTGTATATGGTAAGCTTCGAAGTGAATCACTTTCACTTCAAAACTTATAAATTTTTTTTTAATTTTTTATTATGAAACGTTCCTAAACGTTTCCTTTATCCTTTTTGTAGGATCGGAGAGTTCAGAACGGATGAACGGTTGGGTAAGTTTCGTAACGTTTCATTTCGTTATGAAACTTAATAATATTTTTTTTATTAGGAAACTCCTACTAATGTTTCCTTTATTCTTTTTTTAGGTGCTGGACGTGTAAGATTTCGGTAGGGGTTTACAGAAAATAAATTTTTTTTTACTTTTAGCAAAACGTTTACTAACGTCTCGTTTTCCCCTTTTTTAGATGGCTTCTGGACGCGTGGAATTTCGGTGAGTTTTTTTTAAAATGCTTATTTTAACACAATGTTAGTAACAAACCGCTTACTAACGTTTTGTTTTTGCATTCTGTAGGTGGTTCTTCGGGTCATTTTTTATTTTGAACTTCTTTTTCTAATGTTTTGGTTTAATAAAATCTTTGTCTTCATTATTTTAACGAAACGTTTCATATTTTTTCATATTTTTATTTTCTAGACGACTATTTCTTCAGATCTTCAGTTCTTTGGGTGCGTAATATTTGAAAGATTTTCGATTTTTTATCTTTTCTTAAGACGGCATGGTTTTCAGACGTGTGGAACGCGTGAGTATTCGGTATTTATTTTTTCTCTTTGATTTATTTATTTTAACGAACTGTAACTAATAGTTCATTTTTTTCTTTTTTTAGGTCGTTAGGTCTTTTGGCTTCTTTGTATAATTTTGGACGTGTAAGGATTTCACTTTTTTTCTTTAATTTATGTATTTCAACGAAAAGTTCTAACAATTCGTTGGATAGTATTTTTCAACTTTCCGAGTTTTTGTTTTCAATGTCATCTCCTTCGGCTTTGATTTCGGCTCTTTGGATATGCTTGATATAGGTAGATGCGCTTTTTTTCTTTGTTAATTTTTTTTATTTAACGAAACAAAACGTTTACTAACGTTTTTTTTCTTTTTTTTCTTTTTTTTTATTTTGTAAAAATCCGAACCGAACTTTGAAGAAGTCGAATGCCCTGGCAAGGTTTCATTTCGAAAACATTACTTTTTTAATAATGTGAAGTCATTTTATTAACTTTTTTTATTTTTTTGTAAGAAACCGCTGAAGCACTTTCAAAAAACTTCCTTAAAAAACTGTTTCTTCTTTTTATAGAACCTCTTTAGAGCGGGTGAGCATGTTTTTAACGAAAATTCCAAATTTCCTTTTTTAAAGACAAAGTTATTAACTTTTTATTTATTTATTTATCTTTTTATAGGTCTTCAGCTTTTAATTAATCTTAGGTATATCTCAGAAGAATTCGGAACATAGGAACTTTAACAATTTTTTTTATTCAGCGTCAAATTTTAGATTCATTGTTGATTCTGAGAGAGTATCCAAAAGATTTAGAAAATAGCCCAAGAAATTTTTTACCGACATTTTTCTTTTTTTGTAAGGACTTCCAATATGTTTGAAAGAAAATTTCAAACCACTATTAGAAACGGTTTAGCTTTTAGGAATCCTGCTTTTGGGATGAGTAGATGGTAAGTTTCAAAGTTTTAACTTTGAAATCTTCAACTTTTTAATTAGAAACAATATACTAACTATTTCTTTAACTATTTTGTAGGGTTTGTACTTCAGAGTGGTGGATGCAGTCGCGTGAAAGGCGTATGCAGACCTAAATTGTCTAACTGCAGAACGTGTACCGGGGAAAATACGATCAGCAGATACTTTTGGATTATGAATTTAATTATTGGATCAGGATAAAATTTACTATAGTGTTATCGTATTTGTATAATTGTAATTAACATTTGTAAAACAATTAAAAATTAATTGAAAATCAATTGAAAATATATTACAATTGCATTATAAATTCACTATAAATTCATTATAAATAAATTATAAAGCTATTTTAAAACTATTACAAAAACTATTACTAAATAATTGCAGAACTATTTCACATTATTTGGCAATGAAATTATAAGCCTAGATAACATGCTTTTAATGGTTGACGTAATGCATATGAAATGCATTAAAACCATATAAAAATAATATTATAGCTATATCAAAAGCATTTCAAAAAAATAGCTATTTTTAGCAAAGTAATGTTAAAAGTTCTCAAACAATCATGATTTTAATTTATTAAATTTTAAAAAATAAGCGGTATCACATTTAAACTTTAATTTTAAGCAGCATCAAGAAAAATTCTTGCTAATTTTCTATTAGCAATCGTGATTCGAACAGTATACATAATATTGATATATAAGAACTGCTGATATAGTATACTTTGTAAATATAATGTTTACGTTCATTGATCTTTTTTTTAATGATTAGCTTTATTTGTACCCTAGGGGTCATAATATATTATAGTTCTTTGCTATGCGGAAATTTTGAGAAAATTTAAATAAGTTGATATATTGATGCATTTTTAAGTAAAAGATCAACTTATTCGTAACACAAAATACATGTGATCATCAAACAAATGACTTTATAACGGTTAGTATATAAAAATAATATTATATGATGGATTTTCTCACAGCTGTAATTTCAATATAATCCTTCCATACAATAAATGCTTCCTAAATATAAAATCATTATCCACAAACCACAACATCTTGTTCTTTATCCAATAATCAAGTAAAATTCTTCTCATGGTATTGTTTGAGTCATATTTTTTCGTATGATAAAGTATAGCAAAATCACTTGATATTCCATACCCTAACTTCTCTGATATAGCTTTTTTAAATAAACCGTAAGAACTAGTTCGTGGAATTGTCAAATCAATTTGTTCTTTTCTATATTCTTCTCCCCAAAAGACATTAACTTTTATGTTAATGTTTTTGACAGGACGCCAAGTCTTTTTGTCTGGTGTAATAATATTTGATGTTGAGCATAAGTCATATGAAATTGAATTTGATCAAGATCGTAACTTGGTATTTCCTTGTGAAAGAATTACGGCCATCAGATCATCTTTTGAATATATTTTTTCTTGTTTCATGTGACTTCTTGTTGTAATGAATTCTTTTAGGTTTGTAAATATTAGAGCTCCGAACGAGTCGAGTCAAGTCGAGTTATATGTAAACTTGATTCGACTCGAGTTAAATCGAGTCGAGTCGAGTCGAGTTAAAATTATAAAAATATAAACTCGACTCGATTCGAGTCAAGTTGGCCCGTCAAACCGAATCAAGTCGAGTTGAATTAAATCACGTGATTTTAATTCGCTATGCTGATCATTTCCTTTTTTGGCGATAGCCATTCCACAAAATTCCATTTTTGTAATTTTCAAAAATTTTTCGTCTCGGATTTTGTGTAACATAATTTCCAAAAAAGGAAATTCCATAAATTTGGCCGGAATTATGTTTAATTCGGCTTAACTCGACTCAACTCGATTTTATTAAATTATTAACTCGACTCGAATCGAATCGATTTGATTGTAATTTTCAACTTGACTCAACTTGACTCGACTCGACCAACTCGCGAGTCAACTCGACTCATTTCGGAGCACTAGTAAATATTTAGCTTTGAAAAGATTTTCTTTAGTGATAATTTAATAGACCTTGCCAAATTCTCATTAATTAAAGACTTTATTTTATTAGACATTCTTAAATAGCAAATATAGTCGTGTAAAATTTTTGAAATAATAAAGTTGTAATCAGAAGTAAAGATGATTTATATATGTGCTGAACTGAATAAATTTCTGTAAGAAAATTAACAAATCTCCCGAAAATTCGAACTCCAAATTTCCGTTTGTGTTCTGCGATCACGACATTCATTAAACTTCCTTCCGTTAACAAGTCAATTCTTTATAACCACTAATACGTCATTTCGAATAACGTTAACACGTCATTATTCATATAAAGTTTCTTATCATTAACGCGTGGATCATTGCCCAGACCCAAGTTTCCGTTTATGTTCTGTGGTCACGACATTCATTATAAGTCAATTTTCGGATCACTGCCTAAAATATAAAATTTCTTTATAACCACTAATATGTCATTTCAGATAATGTTAACACGCCATTATTCATATAAAGTTTCTTATCGTTAACGTGTGGATCATTGTCAGAAGTTTCCGTTTATGTTCTACGGTCACGACGTTCATTATAAGTCAATTTTCGGATCACTGCCTAAAATATAAAATTTCTTTATAACCACTAATACGTCATTTCGGACAGCCATTATTCATATAAAGTTTTTGCCCAAAAATTTCCGTTAATTAGAACTAATGTAACCATTGACAAAGTTAGGTCCTAACCAAAAATTTGTTAACCCAGATTTCCGATTATATAAATGTAACCGTTAACATGTAACCATTGATATATATAAAACTTCTTTATAACCATTAACACGTTAATTTGAACAAAGAACTAATGCAACTATTAACCTTTTTCCTGATCAATTGCCAAATTCAAAAATTTGTTAACTCAGATTTCCGTTTATATGTTATTTAATAAATTTCTTTATATGCAACCGTTAAAGTATCAATTCGGATAAGGAACTAATGTAACCATTAATAAATATTTTTCCCAATTTAATTTTAATATTGGGAAAAATCTCTATAAATAAAGATGATGTAGCATTTATTTTTCATCAGGAATCTCTTTTATTCCTATATGTTACCGTTAGCACAGTAGTATCAATACCATCTTGCTTTGTTAACTGTTAGCAAGCACAATATCAATATCACCTTACTTTGTTTATCATGGTTAAACACAGAGGAGATGCTAAAGGCAGGAGTACAGCAGCAAAGAGTACAAAATTGTTCGTACATACAGCCCCGATTCTCAAAAAGACGCCACAAGTTCCAAGATAAATATTACCAATTCACGTAATTATAATAAGGGAAGGAGGGCAAAAGAGAGTGAATATGAACAAGATAATTTGGATAGACAAGACGAAGATGTCGAAGAAGAGGAGAAGGATGATAGATAAGATGATGATCTTGCGAGACTTCTGGGTAAGTAGTATCTTTAAAATTATTTTATTGTTTAATCTGAATGATATTTCTGCGAATTTTATTTAATAAATTATAAATTACTTTGTTATGAATATTTTTCCTCAGAGTAAAATGAAAGAAATATTGAGGGAGAAAAAGAAAAGGAGAGGGGAGAGATAGAGAGGAGGAAGGAGGAAAAGAGAGAAAAAGAGAGAAGAGAGAAGAGAAATAATAATAATAGACAAAATGATCTTGCAAGACTTCTGGGTAAGTTGCAATATTTATTTTATTGTTCAATTAAAATAATATTTATAAATTTATTTTGTTATAATGAATATTTTCTCTTAGAGCAAGAAGAAAGAAATACTGATAAGAGAAGAGAGAAGGAGAGGAGAGGAAATAATAACGGTCAAGAAGAAAATGAAAATGATGAAAATGGTTAAGATTATCTATATAACTATTGTTCATAAAGTCCAAGTATAATTATAAATAATATCATATTTACTGTATAATATATAACCTCTAGAGGACGAAGAAGAAATTCCTTCTCAATTTGGTGCAAAGACCAACTAATTGCAAATTTGCAATTGGTTGGTCTTACATCCAAATGTACTACATCTGGCAAATAAAATGCTTGCGGCCTTGTCGACGCCACCATCATCAAATACGCCTTTGACCACCTTAACATCATCAACTCTATCAGCATCTGACAATAATGTAAAGTCTATTCCTAATTTTAAAATTGATATTGCTACATTATTACATTATTTGATAGTGTATACTGATATTATATTGTGTTCTTTAGGATAAGTATCATCTTATTGATGAGGAAATGAAATGTCTTTTTTTGCGAACTAGAAATCCGCCTGATCATGCGTTTAATAAAATAACGCAAAAAATATTTGGGCATGATGCTTATCAAAGTATGGCAAAGTCAATTAACAAACGTTATCGTAAATCATTCTCTGACTATCAATATCAATTGAAAAACGTGCTTTCGGTGCTAGTAAAAGAATTTCAAGAATTTCAACAAATGGCTGAAAGGTAATCAACATATTTATGTTTATTACATACAATATTTATAGACTACTTAATTTTTTCTATTAAATAAAGTGAATGTAATACAGAAAGGTCAAACCCTACCGACGTTGAAGTAAATAACTTCATATCACGTGAAGTCATTTTAAAAAGAATCTTAAGTCGACATGTTTCGGCAATCGACTTCACGAAGTTATCTGAAACCTCTCTAGAGAAGTTAGTAGAATTTTCCAGAAAAGGTTTCAAGATAGTGTGGTCTGAAACAGATATTAGTATCGTTAGAAAAAAAATTAAAGAATTAGACATCATTACGGAAGGGTTAGAAATTCCTTTTCGTAGCAGAAGAAACATTGCAAGTTCTTTAAAACTATGATTTTTTTCATAATAAATGTAATGTAAAAAGATATATATAGAACATAGCTTCACATGTGCTTACAATATGAATAAAAAAAAGGCAATTCTATTTCGTGATCAAATTTTTTATTGTGAAATACAAGTCCCTTGTGATTTTTAAATTTCAGACTACTTTTATCCAGACAGATATCCGGATTTACACACTTAACAAGACATAATTCATATTCAAGTTGCAAACTTTATAATCTTTGAAGAACTTGAGATGAAAAGAATAAATATGTGTATTATCAGTTGTGACAAAATATTAACCTTAAACAATTACCAATTCGAACACATAATAAAATAATGAATAGCATAAATCAAATAGAACGTTTGAAGAGAAATCAGAGAGAAGCTTATATATGTAACTGTGGTTGGTTCAATATTTTAAAATAAATTCTCAATAGAATTAATATATTAGCAAAATGTCTAAAAATTCTTGTTTAATAAAAAGCTCTAGGAATTAAGGGAAAAGTATTTTATTTGTGTTATCAAAAAATAACGGGTGATAAGGAAGGTACTGGAGATGAATCGACCGAGTATTGTATGACATTAAAATTAATGGTGAAATGACTACATGTATAGTAACAGAATTTTTTTCTCAGAATATATTCTGATTATAATTAAAATCATTTTAATTTTTTTAATTCGCATTAAATTTTGATAAATTCTACATACTAATTTTTCGCGTTATCAGCTTGATAAAGAATTTATTATATGCTGTATACTTAAATATTAGTAATTTTACATTAAAATTTTATAATTAGCATAATACACCCAAAAGAACGTGACTTTAATTTACTAATCAGCATTAAAATAAGCGGTATCACAAAAATTAAGTAGTATTAAGAAAAATTCTCAAGAATTTTTCTTAAGAACGTGATTTAATTTATTAAAATAAGCAGTTGGAAATTCAAACTTTAAATTAGTGACTGTTCAGTCCGTTGTTATAATATCACTATTATTTTGTCATCCGTAGCAAACCGCGGATTGATCCGTTAAAAATTCACCCAGATCAACCCGTTGTACTTGTTCTAATCCCACTGATCAAATGCCTTGTTCCAATCAAAATCTTTAATATTATCGGGTGCATTTAGAAGTATCATTAAATGTGATTCAAGTGACTTAATTTCATTCTATTACGCGATCTTGTTTTTGTTAATTTGTGGAGAAAACACTCTTTCAACATTTGCATTCGATTTAATGCGTGAATTGACACAAATCGGAAATTCCTCTTTTTTTCGGTTAGAATCAGAATGATCAGATAAAAAACTATATATGGACGATACCTGAATAGTATAAGCCGATTTTAAATTAAAATTGACTGTTTATGATCGATATTATGCAAATCGTATGACGATTTTAACATTGTTGTCCAGTTACTCCAGTAAATTAACTTTTGTTTTACTTTATTTAATATTAAAAATTACTATGTGAATGAGAAATTAATAAAGTAAAACAAATGTAGACTTAAATAACTTAAATATCAATTTATTGGGTAATTTTGGTATTACAAACCATTTTTAAGCAATGAAGATTATTAATATTTAGCATTTAACGTAAGAAATGCAGTAAAAAAATTTTTCCTATTAGAATTGTAGTTTTACAGTCAAAAATAAACATCTAAATACCAGAACAAGTAAAAAGCCTCAAGATAAGCTGGTCGATTTCTAATTAAGTATTAAAAAAACTACTACCAAAAAGCTTAAATACCAGAATGAGTAAAAAGCCTTAATATAAGCAGATCAACTTCTATTTAAGTATTAGAACCAAGTAAATTTTCACACATTATTTAAATATGCAAATTTTCTTTTTTAAATACTTTTTTTCGTGCAACATTTTTTTTTTAAATACTTTTTTTTGTGCAAAATTTTTTTTTTTAAATACTTTTTTTCACGCAAATTTTTTTTTACTCACACTAAGTACTCTTTTATTCACCAACCTTTTTACAAAAATGACTGAAGATAACGAAAGTTTTTCAGTCATAGAAAATAACGTTACTACAAAGACATACTTAATAATATCGATAAAAGCTTTGGAATCATCACTAATCTATCTAATTTTTTAGTTGAATTAACACGCACTCAAAATAACACGATAAATGAATTAACCTGTAATCAGGATAAAACAATACATGAGTTATTATGCATGGTAAAAACGTTAATATCATCAACAATAACACCATCAACAATATCATCATCACCACTATCATTATTGACATCATTTACATCATCATCACCACCACCATCAATATTATCATCATCATTATCATCATTGCCCCATCATCATCTCCACCATCATCATTTCCGTTATCGTCATCATCATCTCTACCATCATTATCTCCGTTATCGTCATCTCCGCCACCAGTACAACTTTATTCGGCGAAAGATATAAAAATTTGTCTGGCAACCAACTGGATTTTACCAGTGGAATTTTATAGAGACCCCTGCTATATTTGCCTATATTATGGACATGGCTTCAGAAATTATAAATTGTCTGAATATAATTTTTACAGCACAAGAACTTCAGAATATTTGTATAAAGTGTTGGGGACCAATCCATGGAACATCGGGAAATTGTACTAATAATCGGGTCACACCTCAATTTAAAGAAGATTATATACAACCAACACAATTAATTCAAAAATTTTTTTTTAGGTAAGATTTTTAGATTTATACTTTTTGATTTTAATAATATATTAATATATTTTTTTTTATTACCAGTGGAATATTATAAAGACCCCTGCCATATTCGCCTATATTATGAACATGTCTTTATAAATTGTCCAAGTATAATTTTTACAGTACAAGAACTTCAGAATATTTGTATAAAGTGTTGGGGACCAATCCATGGAACATCGGGAAATTGTACTAATGATCGGGTCACACCTCTGTTTAAAGAAGGTTATATAC